CTTCTCCTAAGCCTCCCCCGCCTCTCCTCACTTCCTCTTCTTTGTCATCATCTTCTTTTTCTTCCTCTCCCCCTCCTCTTCCTCTTCTTCTTCTCCTCCCCTTCCCTACCTCACTCTTTTTCCTCCTCCTCCTCTCTGTTCTCCTCTCTCTTCCTCCTCCCCTTCCCTTCCCCACTCCCCCTCCTATTCCTGTTTCTTCTTCAGTATTCCATTTGCAATGACTCTGGTTAAAGTGAAACAGGAAAAGTATATTTTTGTTGCCATCCTGTTAGCTATTTCCTCATGATTTATGGTTAGAATTTCTCTGTCATCCCCCGCTCCCCAGCATCTGTCCCAGGCTCAGGTGCCAGCCGTGATATCAGAGCTCCTGCATATTGTTACTGGCTGCGGGACCTTTGCTCACTTTATATCCAGTGCCCAAGTTCACAGTCTCCCAGAGCTCTCCTTGGGTCATCATATCCGTCCCTCTTTTTCTCTTTTCTGTGACCAAGTTCCCACTTCTCCTCCAGTTTCTAGAATTAGAGCCTCACCCAATTTGTTAGGAACATTCTCCTCTTCCTCACAGACTTCCCTTTCCAGCCTTTCCTCAACAGCCCTGCCTTGTGACTGTCCTAAAGATGGCAGTGCGAATCTTCATGTTACTTATTTCCTTACTGTCTCTTGGCTCTGATCGTTCCACCACCTACTTAAGGACACTTATCTATTGAGGATGATTATGTCATGTTACCCTTAAAAATGAAACTGCCAGTCATTTTATCAGCAGAAAGGGGTTTATTTGGGAATGGTAGAGAATTACAACTTGAGAAAGGCAAGTTACAACAAACCACAGCCAAGGCAGACCAACAGAGGAAAGACCGCTCTTTTATAGAGGAAGCTGGGGGAAGCTGGGGAGAGCTGCCATAAGCACAAAGTCCAATGGACTAAAGAGGGAGTTCCAAGTATAGGGCCTCCTTATTGGCTGAGTTATGACTGTCTCTCGTTGGCTGGTCCGCTGTTAGGGATGCACCTTTCTTCCTCAAACTGGGTAGTAAAGTAGGTAAAGTAGCTTGAGAAGGTAGGTCTCTTCTTGTGGGGTCTGCAATCCTGAGAAGTGGTAGGGTGTGAGAGCTCCCTGCTTTCACCTCCCAACACCATTTTATTTTAAAGATTTGTTTGTTTGTTCGTTTCTTTATTTGAGGGAGAGAGCATGAGAAAGTGAGCACAAGCAGAGATAAAAAGAAGAGGGACAGGGAGAAGCAGGATTCACACTGAGCAGGGAGCCTGAATTGGGGCTCCATCCCAGGACCCTGAGATCATGACTTGAGCTGAATGCAGGTGCTTGACCAATGGAGCCAGCCAGGTGCCCCTTTCCAAATACCATTTTAAACAAGGTTTCTTTTTATTAATTTTCACAATAATTCATCTTCTAAGCTGGGACACCTCTGAAAATGAAGGGAGGTGTTATTAAAATCGCACTGGGGGTAACAGGCACTGCTGGGCACCTCATGGTACCCAGAGCCTGAAGTTTGCACACAGCCTGGCCAGGTATGGACTGATGTTAGGAAAGCTGGTTAACATTTCCCTGCGATAGTCTTCTTTTCTATGAAATTGGGCTAACAGTTGTTCCTTGGTCTGGAGTTAGCATAGGAGGAGGTGGGTCAATGCATGTGGAACATGTAGAGTGATGACCCCTCCACAGCAATCATTCAATGTATTTAAACTACAGTTTGTATACTTTTTGTACCTATAATGTTGGCAACTTAACTAGCCTTTCAAAGCCTGTAAGACCTGAATGTGAGGCATGGGACCACTCTCCCTCATCTAGACACTGCTTTTACTGACTTTGTTCTTTGTTTTTTGACATAATTCTTCGATGCCCATCCCCAGTGCTTTCCCACCCATCTCCCTGTATGTCCTGCTTGTATTTCTTGTTCCAGCAATGCATTGGGCAATGTCTCAAAGCCAGAAGACAGTTACTCCTGCTGCCAGTTTCCTAATCAACCGTAAGCCTTCAGGAAGCACAGTGAACTCAGAGTGGTCTTACCACGCTCTCCAGCCAACACGTTTCCACTGACTCCTCTACACTGTTGCACAAGGCAAAGGCACGTTAAGTTGGAGTCAGAAGAGGCTGCAGTTTTCCAGAAAAGACATCCTAGCCATCATTATCGAGTGTCTCCTACTTGGCTTCAGAGGCAAGACGTCTTCCAAGGCCTGAAGCCTCCAAGGTAAACCCTATAGATTCCCTTTTCAGAGAAAGCCTCCTTTTTAATTACCTGCTTGGGGTGCCCCCCAGTGGGCCATAAGGATGTCTGCAGAGTTTTCTGTATGGTTGCTATGTAGAGATTTGGAATTTCAGCGAAGAGCATGGCTTCCCTTTAGAATTTGATTGTTCTCTGGTGCCAAAATGTTAGATATAATTATATAGTTATTTCTTTGGGAAGACACGGTCATGGACATGCATAGCCTTGTGCACGCACACACACAGGCATGCACACACACACCCCTGAGATGTATTAAATCCAAGGGGCTGCCTCCAAGTTTGGCTGCCAGCTCTGGGAATGGGATGGTCTGGACACACTTGAAGCCTGGGATTTAGTGAGTGGGTTTCTGCATAAGCTCAAAGGGATCATAATGACACCCTAGAGCCGGGTGACCAGGTTCTGATTCCTCTCTCCTCAGTTGTTGGCTGTGTGTTTTTTGGGAAGTGACATAACTCTTTCCTGCCTGTAAAATGGAAAGGATCACAAGAGTAGTACTTATTTATGTGGATATGTGAGGGATAAATGGGTTGAATAAGTAAAACACCTAGAACAATGCCTGACACAGAGTAAAAGCCAGATGGGTGAACTTAACTGGGGTTCTCAGAAAATCTACACTTCTCTCACTAAAAACAAACAAACAAAACCTAAATTGAGCAAATTATTGAATATAATTTATTTTGCCTAAAGGCTGAAAATTCTCCCTGGTAATTATAATTATTCAAAAAAATCAAATTAAATGATGTGGTTAGACTTGATTTCCCCCCTCTAGAAGTACTCAGGAGTTTCTCCGTAGGAGAGGCTCCAATCCTTGAAAACAGATTTTCAGTACAGCATGGCTCCACTGAGCTGGACCAAAAATTTATTTATTTGTTAAGCATGTATTCCCTGAGTGTCCAGCGTGTGACAGACACGGACATAGGCACCAACTTCTTACGTTGGGAAGACAGCAGATACAGCTGAGCTTGCAGTCACTGGAGGCTTAGAAGGGTAAGTGGTATAAAAAGGGAAGCAGAAGACATTCTTAATAACAGGGAGCTTCCTCCAGACTTGGGCAGGACTGAAGAGGGCTTCCTGCATGAAAAGTGTGGATGTGGGCAAAGGGTCAGTCTGGAAAAAGACCAGATATTATCTAGGTGGAGCCTGAGGGACAACGTGTTCAAGAAGGGAGGAATAATACTGAGAAAGAGGGTTTGAGACTTTTGAGAGCTTGATGCTTGGGGAATTAAAAGAAAGAAACCATGGCTGGATGGAGCTATGAGATAGGAGGAGGCATGAAGCTGGAGTAACAGGCAAGCAGCTTCTGATCATGAAGGAGCGCTGCTCCCCACATTACATACATTTTAAAGCAGTAGATATCTTATCTAAAATATATGCATATTTCCCAGGGTGGCTGGTTGGCTGTCAGTGGAGCATGTGACTCTTGATCTTTGGGTTGTGAGTTCGAGCCCTACATTGGGTGTAGAGATCACTTAAAAAAATAAAATCTTTAAATATGTACACACACACACTTTTCCCAATGGAGAAATTTTATTTTATTTTATTTTATTATTTTTAAAGATTTTATTTGTTTTTTGAAAAAGAAAGACAGCACAAGCAGGGAGAGCGGCAGGCAGAGGGGAGCGGGAGAAACAGACTCCTCTCTGAGCAGAGAGCCCGATGCAGGGCTTGATCCCAGGACTCTGGGATCATGACCTAAGCTGAAGGCAGAAGCTTTAACCCACTGAGCCACCCAGGCGCCCCATCAGTTTTTATACTATGAAGTTATACTGTCCAAGATTGAAATACTGTGTATATTTTAGTGATAATGTATTTTTTAGTTGCAATGACTGTGGTGGTTGTTAGGTGATCTTTATATATGATACTTTAAGTCCTTTTGACACAAGGTAGAGTGTAAGTTAAAGTCAACATTTAGCAACTGTTTGTTAGGTTAGGGACTTCATACCTTATCAAAGTTGCCCCTTGTAAAGTTAATATGAAATTAAAATTATTTCCATTTACATATGTGAACACTGAGGTTCCCATTCCTAGATCACTCAACTAGTAAATGGCCAAATTCAGACTCTGACTTGGCTCTTCCGTGGTGAGTAAACTATCCACAGCTATATGGCTGCCCAGAAGGCTATCTTCCCCTATAGTACTATGCAACATAATGATTTAAAAAAAAATGCTGGACCTTAAAGTAGAATGTCTCTAGTAGAGTTGAATTCATTTATGAAAGGTGTAAGTTTGGGTATGTGGTTTAACCTCTCTATGCTTCCATTTTCTCATCATTAAAGTGGGAATAATATTCCAACATAGACTGTCAGGAGCATTAAATATGTTCACTCGTTTGCAGGAACTAGACCACGTTTGGGTAGCAGTAAGTACTCAATAAATTATACCTATTGTTATTATAGGAATATGACCAAAGGCATATTCCTCACCTAAGAGTTCACTGCTCAGTGAAGCCATCTGTCTGGTTGTCTAGGACAGATTTGCAGAGAGAGGGGCCTATGCAATAATGTATACCTGTATATAAAAAAGAGAAGGGAATCACTCTTCACTGTTTCAAGGTTAAATGAGACACCCAGACTTACTACAATAGTCTAATGATTACTACTCCAAGACAAAATGAAACTCAACAATGTAAATTGTTGCGCCATTTTGAAGTCATTTTGAATCAAACATTTCTGTTGTGCTCAAAAATTTTTAGCTAACAGTAAAGGGGGAAATGTCAATCCTTTGGACTTCTTTTTTTGTGACAGCCATCAATAACCCCAGATGGCCTCCCAAGGAGTTGGTAATGAAGAAACTGGGATAGCCTCAGCAGGTGGTCCCCCAGCAAGCCAGGCGGAACCAGAGGTGATAAATAACTCTGTCTACCAGCCCATTGATGAATTGCAAAATCACCTGAAGGGGAAACTACAAGCCTTTGGGGTATGTCAACCTAAGTTTAAAAAAAAAGGTTTAAGATAGAAGAAAATACCTATCATATGGAAAACCTTGTTTATTCCCATCGGGGGAATCTAAGTTATTCAACACTGAGTCAATAATATACTTTTTAAAGAAAAGACCAGGATCTACTTTAGACTTGGAGAGTAGGAAACATCCTATCAACATTGGAGAATGGACTCCAGTCTGAGCAGCACATCAGGAGGCCGAGTTCTTATGAACTCATACTCCGTATCTTAAATTTAAAAATTGTGTTGAGGAAAGTCTTAATGAACTGTTGTTTAATGTCTGGGTACCTTCCCCATCATATTATGGCCCTAAAGTATGCCAGGAAGATGATTGACCTTATCTATGAGGTCAGCCATTTTGCCTCTACTCTTCTGCCACTTTGTGGAAGGGGTTTGTGAGAATAAACAGGAGCAGGGGGAGAGGTGGAGATGAAGGGCTGCCCCTGGGATCCATGGCGATAGCATGGGATGAAAACCTCCAAATGTAAACCCTAGCCCAGTTAAATTAGTTGACTTTATAATCATTTCAAGCAATGATACCTGCTTTCTGAAGGAAATGAAAATGGTCTCTTCTCCATGTACATTAGTATATGACCATTATGCCTTTCCCCCCTTGCTTCTTACAGGCCGTCCAGATCCTGAGTGGAGCAATTATTATGGTTCTAGGTGTTTTTCTAGGTTCCTTAAGAAACATATTCCATTTCTTCAGTGTGTTTTTCTTTATCTTCTACACAGCCTATCCACTGTGGGGCCCTATATTTGTGAGTATTCGTATTCCCCTGACCAGAGATCACTGCATAGATACCACTGCTAGAAATGTGTTGGATTATTATAGTGTCGTTCTTAGGTGATTTGAAGATTGCCTGCTATGGGTTTGATTTGTAATCTTTACACATGTTTTAAAAACAAAGTGCCTTTCTGACTAAGAGAAATCACATTTTCTGACTACAACTTAAGTCCCAAACATAAAGTTAATGTATTCATGTATTAAACCCAGGTGTTATGGATACTAAGAAAATCAAATGAAAACTGAGTATTGGTGAATTGTCTTGTGTAGCCAAGAGAATCCTGGTTTGAGACATAAGAGATTTGCCTGCTGATCACAGTCTGGAAATCAGAAGATTGATTTCCCCTATCTAGGTCAAAATGTAATCAATAAAATAGGCTTTGGTCCTAGGTGATCTTAAAATTTATTTATTTAGCTTTGTTATTTGACCATCACCTACCTGATGGTTTATTTTTTTTAAAGGTGATTAGTAGGAAGTATTTGTTAATTAGGTAGGGCTTGTTTTGTTTGTAGATTCTGGTATTAGAACTTCGAGAATTTATATGTGTTTGGTCTCAAACAAAGGTGCTACCATGACATATCAAAGATGGGAAGGGTTAGCTGAAAATGGTAAATGGAACGTGTAATTGGCAAATGAAGAAGAAAAAATTTATAGCAAATTTTGGGCTCTGATTTATTCATACTTTTTTTTTTTCCCCAAAATCATTGACCTTCAGATGTCCTGTAAAACAAAATTGCTCATCATCTGGTCAAAATTTCTTGACCCAAATCAGATCTCATGTTCTGACAAAAGATTATATTCAGTTTCTGGATATAGTCTAACACATGTAATTTGGATTTAACATTTCTGAAATGTTTAAGTAGTTAATATGATCATTTAGATGACCTAGCTAGAATCTGGATTTTTTTTTTCCAGAAAATCAGGAGTACACATTTTCTCTGCATCATGAATCCTATCTAAATGGGAAATTTCCATATTGTAGAAAAGAGAATAATAAAGAGTCTCAATTATTCAACTGGAAAGGAATATTCTTTTCTCAGAAAGCTGAGGTCAGTTTGTTGAAAAAAAGTGGTCAGGGAACTAGAGCTCACTCTTTTAAGGCATCCTCAAGACTAAGATTCAAATCCGACTGTTGGATTCCCATTGGTAGAAGCTTTTCTCTGACTCTGTATCACCAGCGGAGCAAAGTCTAAGATCCATGACATGGAACAAAGCGTTTCTTATCTGGCCTTACTATATCCTTGTCTCCCTCCCCTTTCTTCTGTATACAGACCCTGCTATCTACACACACTGATGTGTGATTCCTTCTATTTACCGATCTTCCTCTTACTAATCCTTATTAAACCATGTGCCTTTGGAAAAGATATTTCAGCTCTTGCCCTCCAGTTTCCTAGGATAGTAGAAATAATACAAGGACATTCTCATTGGGTCACTAGGAAATTAAGTGGAAAAATATATATAAAAACCTTAGCTGTTTTTAATAGGTGCTTTATGTATGCTGGGCTCATATCTAGTACCTTGCCATGTGTTATTTCATTTTATCCCCATATAACTATAAGATCAGTGACATGGCGCTATGAACATCTCTATCTTACAGAAAAAGAAATGCAGGCAAAGAGGGGTGTGACAGTTTGCCTCAGGATACAGAATGAATACAAGTTAAGATGGCATCAAGACACAGAGCATATGCTCTTGACTATGAGGCTCTAATGAGCCTGGAGTTTCTTGTGATAACCACTTTGTTATCTGAAGTAGAATTTAAAACCCATTCCTTCATGTTCAGTCAGAATTTAAGAATTGAATTTATGTAGCAAGCTTTAGCTCTCCATGATTTTGACGTTTGCCTTCAAACCCTAGGAGTGGTTTGATAAAGGGTTGTAAGATACATGAGACATAAAACAGAATGAAGTTTTAAGAAAACCATGAACTTGTAGAGAATTCAATTGATCAAATCAGAGTCATGAAAACAATAGCTTATCAAAAATAATCATTAAAAAAATTAGTGGGCATTTCAATATAGACAGATTTGCAGAAGTTCTTTAAGAAAATCTAATCCAAGGGCACATGGGTGGCTCAGTGGTTTAAGGCCTCTGTCTTTGGCTCAAGTCTCATGACCTCATGATCCCAGGGTTCTGGGATCAACCCCTGCATTGGGCTCTCTGCTCAGCGGGGAGCCTGCTTCCTCTTCTCTCTGCCTGCCTCTCTGCTTACTTGTGATCTCTTTCTCTGTCAAATAAATAAATAAAATCTTAAAAAAAAAAAGAACATCTAATCCAATGAATCAAACCCTTATCTGAAGCCTGGGTAAGAACATGAGAATAATGTTACATATGAATGTGCATATAAATAAATGTTATCTACATTTACTATAAATATAAATTATGTTACATTAAATATATGTATTTATTATATTTTTAAAGTATGCACACTCATGTAACCTATAAAAAGCCAGACATAAAACATAATGGTAATATATATTTGCTCAAAATTTTAATGAATTTAAAATTTCATTGCTATAAAATGATGAACGACATCAAGTATAATTCCATGTGGTAGAATGTTAATTTAAAAAAGAATCTTTGTACAACCATTGCTAAATAGCTACTAATCCAAAGAGTACTAAGAAAAAATAGTTGAGACTTAGTATTCTCTAATCTGCTTTGTTTCCTGTGTTCAAGCAGTTCATTGTTTCAGGATCCTTATCTGTTGCAGCTGGGAGAAAACCCACAAGAGCACTGGTAAGTGGCAGTTCTTCTTGTCTTCCTATGATCATAGGACTTGAAATAAATTATCTATTAATAGCAGGAGAGTAGAGGTTGGTGAATCCAACTGAGACACCAAGTCTCATGTAATGCACAAGAAAATTAATTCTCTTTTCTTAAGGCACTCAGATGGTAAATTATCAGAAAGTCATAGAGATTCGAGTGATTATTGGGATGGTTACCTTTAATAGTTGATGAATCTGAAGCTCAGAAAAAGGCTTCTTGATTTTTGTGTGTTGTGAAACTTGATGAATTCTAATTACTTAGAGCGTACACTTTCTACCACTGATTCCACAACTGAAAGCAAAAAGTTCTATTCCTTCAGTGATTCATTAAACACTTACTATGCCCCTATTATGTGTTCTCTCTAAATCATCTGTGCAGCTACACAGCTTCTCTAGCTCATTCTCTGCCCCTTCCCTGGACGGCCACCTCGAACACCAATCCCTTTTCTCTCATCGTTATTCTCTGTTGATGACCTTGCTTCCTATTCTGAGAAACACAAGCCACTGGAGAAGAACGTTCAGACCCCCACTCTAATATCCACTTTGTGGACCAGATCTGTACCATTTCTCTTTTCATTCTAACCTCTTACAGCAGGTGACCTCTCTACTGTTTTCTTCAAAGCAGGTATCCCTCCTTGAATACTAGATTCGGTTCTTTTTTTTTTTTTTTTCCATCCAAGTGCACCACTCCAAATGTCTTTCTGCTAGATCTTTTTAATCAGCCTATAAACATCCGGTTACTGCTCTAAATAGAAAAAATATATACAGTTTCAATTAAACTCATTCCAAAAGGCTTTATTTTCTTCTCTATCCCATCTCCATAACTATTCTCCTTAAGATTACTGAAGACTTCTGAGCACCCGGGTGGCTTAGTTGGTTAAGCAACTGCCTTTGGCTTGGGTCATGATCCTGGAGTTCCAGTATCCCATCCTGTATCGGGCTTCTCACTGCATCTTCCTGGGCCGCATTCCTATTAACACTACCACTTCCGCTTCTCTCTGGATGTCCAGGTCCTCCTCTCTCCACTCCATTAGCCATAATACTTATTCCCCTTCAAAAATACTACGTAGTTTACCAATTTGTATGCTTAATTGTTTTCTTTGTCTTTGCTGCTAGAATGTAAGCTCCATGAGGGTATGGATCTTTGTTCTGTGATGTGTGCCCAGCATCTAAGATGATTCTGGGTGTGTAAAGAACCTTAAATCGATATTTATTTAAATGAACCACCACCAAAGGAAGGAAGGATGTGCTTCCTATATTAAATGAAAATTCCTATTCTTTTTTTAGGTGCAAAACACTTTTGGAATGAATATTGCCAGCGCTACTGTGGCTCTAGTTGGGTTTGTTTTTCTCTCAGTAAATTTAGCAGTTAATAAGCAGTCTTTCAAGAACTGTGAATCTTCACAGTCATAGGACTTATGCATTTACGTGGGCATCTTTTCAAACGTATGTTTTCCAAAATTATGTTTAATTATAAAATATTTCAAACAACCCAAAATGTACAGAAGAATAATGTATCAGGTATCATGTAACCTTGATTTGAATCTGGGCTTGGCCATGTATTAGCTCTGTAATGAAGGTCAAATTAGACAATCTTTCTGTGCTTCAATTTGCTTATCTTTCAAAAGAGGATGATAATAGTTTCATTCTTACAGAGTTGGTGTAAGAATTAAACAAGTTAATATTTGATGAACTGTTGAGACCATGCACATTGTGTTATACTATTAATATTGATTACTACTACTATTACACTCTCCATAGCAGTTAAATTGAAAAAAAAATTATTTCACATCTTCCTTAATAAAACTGACTTGGGAGAAATGCAGTGTTCTCTGTAGTTTGGGATTTTCAAATCAAGACTGACTTCTGAATTTTGGCGGTTGTCTTCCTTTTAGAGGGAAGTTCCTTAAGAACCTTTTCAAATGACTTTATTGTTTGTGTTAGAAATTCTTCTCCTGATGTCCAATTAGAATTAAGATTTTCCTTCAAATTTACCTATTTTCTCCATGATGACCTTTTTTATGATCTATTTTTACTGACTAACTCCTGTGTGCTGGCATAGAACTTTGTGCATCATTTTTTCCCAAGTTGTATTTTTTTTTAATTTTTGTATTTGTTTTTTTTTTAATTTTTTTTTTAAATTTTCAGCATAACAGTATTCCTTGTTTTTGCACCACACCCAGTGCTCCATGCAATCCGTGCCCTCTCTAATACACACCACCTGGTTCCCCCAACCTCCCACCCCCCCGCCACTTCAAACCCCTCAGATTGTTTTTCAGAGTCCATAGTCTCTCATGGTTCACCTCCCCTTCCAATTTCCCCCAACTCCCTTCTCCTCTCTAACTCCCCTTGTCCTCCATGCTATTTGTTATACTCCACAAATAAGTGAAACCATATGATAATTGACTCTCTCTGCCTGACTTACTTCACTCAGCATAATCTCTTCCAGTCCCGTCCATGTTGCTACAAAAGTTGGGTATTCATCCTTTCTGATGGAGGCATACTAAGTTGTATTTTTAATTATATAAGTTTATATTTATATTGGTCTGATTTTTTATTCCTGTGGATTTCATAGTATTTTCCTTCTGGAGCAATTTTATATTTGCTTCTTCAAGGTGCCTAAGAGATAACAGAGGAATTGCTAGTCTAGTGATTTTGTGTTTAATATTTCCATTTAGTGTTTGGTTGCTAGCGATGGTGTAAATGCATAAAACCGCTAATGAAATTCCATTAATGAAATGGTGGAGGGTCATTTTTGTCTATTTTCCTTAACTGCCTACTTGTCTGCCTAGTTTGCTATGATTTAAATTAGTAGATGTTAATGAGAGTATCAGCATTTCGCCTCTACATTTTCTTTACCCATGACTACCTCACGTGCGTTGATAAATGCAAAGTATCTCTCTCTAGGGAAAGTATTTCCATGTTTTTAGGTTGGCAAATTGTCTCTTGTAGAGTGTTTGTGTATGTCTATGTCTTAAACCTAATCTGTGGTTCACTTTGTTCTAAGGGCAGGAGACGTTATATTTGGTTTCCTGATGACACTTTTTTCTCTCTGAATGTTTGTGCTGGGTTTGATATGAGACATCATATCCCCTAGGGCCTGATGTCCCTAATGCTGATCCTTACCTTGCTGGAATTGTGCATAAGCATCTCTGTCTCAGCCATGTGGTGCGTAGAAAGCTCACGTAATTCGACTGAGGTGGGTTTGTTTCCATAACTAATAATTCACATGGACTGCTAGGGTTTGAGGTTCTCACTGAGTCCCAGAATTGGAAAGACACAATTAATGCAGTAATGATTTGTGGGGTTCCTGGAGTTAGAGATGGTGTGAATATGTGGGATGGAATCAAGGCTGGAAAAATGAGGAAACAGTGTATTTAATATAATATTCAATACATGTATAAAATCATAGTATCATGTTATAGTAATATAATTAGTATAATAATCAATAAATTAAAATATCAATAATAATACAATTAGTACAAAATAATAAATATTATAATAACATTTAGTACATTTTTATTCAGATATAATTAGGTTCAATTATTTACTCATAACTTATCAGTTTTTAGTTGTATAGCCAGGAAAAAATTATGAATTCTTTCCAGATTTTAAGTAACTCAAGTATAAGATGAAAACATTTTCATGCTCCTCTAATGTTTGCTGTGAGGATCATGTACATAAAACTTTAGCACAGTAATGATCAGCAATCACATGTTACTGGTGATGATCATGATGATTGAGGAAGGGTTGTAAGGAGAGGGAGGTGATGATCCTATTCTTGGACATTGATATTTTATTTTCCAGGTGATTTCCACTCCTTCTAATTCTGTACAAGCAGGAATGCCTCCTGATGAAAATAAGTCTGAGAGCAAGGAAATTCAAGCTTAAATCTCCAGTGAATCAGAGCTTCATCCAAGAACTTGGGAGGATGGGAGCCTGCAAAACACAATCCTGCTCTCTTAGGGCACCAATCATGAGAAACTTGAATATTTGACTCAATTTTCTTCTGTTCCAATTATAAACCCCATTAGTATGTTTGGATATGGAAGGAAAAATATACTTCTTTAGACATTCTTGGTTTTGTAACGTCTGTGATCACCGCTCCAAAGTTGTTCGCAAAATCAGTGTCTTTCTTCTTACCTACCTATTCCACTGCCTAATAAGGTTTAAAGAAGGCAAATAGAAAAATTCCCATTTTATGTGTTTTCTCTAAACCCAACTCCTAATCACCCACTGAAAAAGAAAATGAGTCATATATTTTTTTCATTGCAGAAAAACACTTCCTGACTTTAGCTGGCATCAGCATTGTAAAAACTCAAATAAAAATCCATCATTATCTTCAAGATATGTTTTTACTACATTTGAGGTGGGGAGGGTCAAGCCTCAGAGATTTTGCTTCAGTCAGCTGCTGAGATTCCAATATGCCCTGATACATAAAGGATGGTGTAGACCGGGGACTTTGAGAGCAGTATCAACATTTGTTCTTCAAAGGATGGTGAGAAACTGCAAAACAGAGAAGTAAAAAATAAGGCTTTGGAATCTCACAGATCTGGCTTTAAATTTTGATAACTGTCACTTATTACCTGTGTGAATTTGAGCAAGTTACTTAATCTCCCTGATCTGTTTCTCGTCATCTATAAAAGACATGTGATAATATCAGTGACCTTCAGGTACCTGGGTGGCTCACTCGGTTAAGAAACCTACTCTTGATTTCAGCTCAGGTCAAGATCTCAGGGTCCTGGGACTGAATCCCACATTGAGCTCCATGCTCAGCTCAGAGTCTGCTTGAGGTTCTCTCACTCCCTTTCCCTTTGCCCCTCCCACTGCTTGCGCTCTCTCTCTAAATAAATACATAAATAAAATAAAATAAAATCTTAAAAAATATCAATGACCTTATCAGTTGTTATGAGGCAAAATAGACCTACAAGTACTAAATAATGCTGGTGTTGTTATTGGTGCTGCTGCTGCTGCTAAGGCTGAGGTGGGGTGGTGGTGAGATGTGCAGGGAAGATGGCAGAAACCCTCACTTCTGTGTGGCTCCTCCTATCCCATAGGGATATTAATGGTTATCTTTTCAAGGTGGCATTTTGATGTTAAACCTCCTTCTGATATATGTGATTCCTGATTTATCTACTGCTAAAGTGCTTATGTTTCACATTTATAAACGAATTCCCTTCTCTTGATACTAAACTGTGTCATTCATAATGTCCATAATTTCATACCCATAGGCTACTCTTAGCTCCTTGTTTACCATGTATGCAAAAATTCTTTCACACTCTTCTCTACTAGTTGTTGCCTTGCCAGAGCATGCACACACATACACACTCATTTTATATATATATATATATATATATACACACATATATGTGTGTATGTGTATATATATGTATTCTAATATGCTTTTTAATCCATTCAACAATATCTGGAGAATGTCAACTATGTGCATGTGCTGTGGTAGAAGTTTAATGTATGATAGAGAATGACGGATAGTTTTTGCTCTCAAGTTGCTCATAGTAAGAGCTATAGACCTATGGAAATATGTGATTACAACATGGAGTGATAAAGGCTATGATAGGAAAAGTATAGGATTCTGGGAAGATGTAGGAAGAGTTTCTAACTCAGGCAAGAGGGGATAACATTTTTTTCTTAGAAGACTTCTAAACCGAACTCTTAAAGATGACTAGAGTTGGCATGATGAAGGGGGATGCATGCAAAAGTCTTTAAGCTTGGGAGAATTGGGGATATTCAGGGAAGTAACAAAAGAGTTTAGTGTATCTATGATGTGTGAGGGGCAGATGGCAAGATAAAACTTTAGAGAGAGAGGGAAAGTATATACATCACAGAAGATCATAAGACAGACAACTCTATGAGTCTTCAGAAGCAATTGAAAATTGTATGTAGTGGTGTTGAGCTGGGTTATATAGACTTGTGAGAGCTGATTTTAAATTTTCAGGGTGGCTTGAAATTGGCTGTGGTGGTAGTATTTATACCTCAGAGACTGGTAAGCCACAAGTCACGGTCCCACTCCCACCCTCCAACTCTGGAAAGCCAGTTGTTAAAATTTACAGCACACCACTGGGAAAATATGGACAGGGCATACATTTGCTTGAAATTTATAGATATCCTTTTGGTTGCAATGTAGAGTGTATTGCAAGGAGTTTGTGAAGAAGAGGTTGATTAAGGAGTCTGATACAGTACACAAAGCAAATGGTAGGTGCCTATAGACATCTCCAGAAAAAAAGTGATTTATAGTAACATTTATATTATCATTTTTCATTATTTCTACTTTTCTCCTCTAATATGTTATAATTAAACAAATCTTTTTTTTTTATTTTTCCAAAGATATCTGCTAACAAATTTTGATCAAAACATATTGACATCCTATAGTGGACATTGGGATTGCCTATCTGGCAGCCATTCTAGATATCCCTGGCTTGATGGCAACCTTGAGATTTTGGTGGAGACTGCAGGGCTCACCACAGTAAATCTGAACCCATAAGAACACTTCCATTCCTGATTGTATCAGCCCATGAAATGTCCCTTAACCAGTGCTTGATTCATGTGTGGAACCATCAACATTAAGTTAGAGGCTCTTTTATGAATGTAAAATATGACCTTCCCTTTCATCATATTTGTGAACTAAGCTACAGCTAGAATTAGTAGCTATAGTGGCCATGGCGAAAACCAACCTCAGTACTAAGCTGAAGGCAATGTAAGAGAATTTCAGAAAACAGAAATCAAACCCTAACCTACTCACATCTGAAATTTAACCCATATCTGGAATTAGAAGTTTCATGAACACATACATTCTGTTTTTATTGTTAAACATTTGTTGCAAATATCTTCTCCCATTCTGATTTTGTTTTGTTTTATTTTGGTGTTTCTGTTACCTCTTGTGTTGCTTCCACCCTGAATTGTTGTAGTTTTATTTACTCACTTTTCATCATGATTTATGCTTTTTGTGTTTTGGACAAGAAACCCTTCTTTACCTCAAGTCCTTGGAGATTTTCTTTTTATATTAAGATTTTTAATATATCCATAATTTACTTTTTCTATAGTGACATCATCATCATCATCACCATCATTATCATCATTCTCCTTTTGGAAAGCTAATAATTCTAGAATATTTTGGTTGAATATCTCCTTATTTGCCATACTGAAGTTCACATACATTCATGCACATACCCGGAGCCTCCTATTTCAGAGACTTTGTTGTTGTTACAAAAATAACACATTGTTTTAGTTGCATAACACAATTATTTTTGGGTAGTATGGACATTTAACAGTATCACTTCTTCTAATCCATGAACATGGAATATATTTGTATTTATTTGTGTCATCTTCAATTTCTTTCACTGATGTTTTATGGTTTTTAGTTGTTTTCTTTAACTATAGGATTTTTCCTTTCAAGATCTTGCTTATCTTTTATTATATTTACATCTACAAATGGGGGTAAATTTCTTTCTTTTTTAAAGATCAATATATATCTCTAGTCTTTTCTCATCTGAGACACTTTCTCAGACTATCCTTGTTTTTCATGACTTTGACATTTTTGAAAAGCAGTGTTCTGGTATTTTGTGGAATGTCTTCTCGGTGTGATAATATTATGCCATGATTCAAATAGATTTATGGTTTTGGAGGAAGACTTTCATACAGTTGAAATACCTTTCTCATCACATCATGTAAGGACACCCAGTATACTCATGATATCAACATGGCGTCATTGGTGTAGTAAACCATGATTACTTGGTTAAAGTCTCCCCAAGATGTGCCTCTTTAGTTTGTAGACTGTTTTGAGCTGAAGGCAATCAAGACTCTGTGGGCTCAAGAGAAACTTTTCCCTCCCTTAACTACCTAGGGGGATCTAAATTGGAGATCTTTCCCAGAATAAGAGTTATTGCCAGAGACAAAATTTTTTAAAAAGATTTATCTATTTATTTGAAAAAGAGAGAGAGAGCATGCACAAGCAGGGGGAGGGACAGAAAGAGATGGAAAGAGAGAATCTCAAGCAGACTCCCCACTGAGTGTGGAGCCTGACATGGGGCTCCATCTTATGACTCTGAGATCATGACCAGAGCTGAAATCAAGAGTCACATGTTCAACCAACTGAGCTAACCAGGTACTCCACCAAAGATAAATTTTATATGAGTGACCCATCTGTGTGGCAGGACAAACATCCAGTTACCAAACATGTACCTTTCTTCTTATTGCCCCGTGATTTTCCCTCCCCCTCTTTGAAGGCCCAGATCCCTTCCCATTCCTTAACTCAGGATGGCTTATAGACTTCATTTTACCTTTTTTGTCTTTGTGCCTCTTGTATATGTGGAACTCTCATACATATGAAATTAAATTTTATTTTCTCCGGTTAATCTGTCTCATGTCAATTTAATTCTTGGACCAGCTGAAGGAACCTTTGAAGGGAAGAATAAAAATTTTCCTCCCCAACATCTTTTAGATGTCTTCACTGAAAAGTTGCTATTTTTTCTCTTCCATCCTCCATTCATTAGAAGTGAATTAATGTCTAGTTTACATTCAAGGGGAAGAGAAATGAGCCCCACCTCCCGGAGAAAGGACTATCAAAACAAAGGCAGGCATTCATTAAAACCACCACTGTAACAAATGTTTTAGAAAAGACATTTTGAGGCTATGTAAATATCCTATTTCTCCTTAAAGTTTCACTCACTAATTTTATCATTCACATAGAGAATTTTCTTGCAGCAATCACTTCTGTGTCATTCAAAAGGTGATTTTCTATATTCCTCATTTCTTCATTTATTATTTAAATTCTGCAAAGGAGATTTGTCCTTTTTCTCTCATTTCTTTCTTCATTAAATCATTTATTTATATCCATACATATTTATATTACTCTTTGGGTTATGACACATATTTTTTTAATTGGTCCAGTTGTTCCAGTTTTTGCTGTTGAGAGCTGAGCTGACTTCTGTGTAGTTTTGACATGCTCCCAATGTTCCCTTTCTTTTTTAGCACTTTGCTGTTTTCTAGAACCAGAAGATACTCCAGGTTCATTTCCCTGTTGCAGACAGAATTTCCACTTCTATAGGGAGACCTGGTTTCTTTTTAGAGGGAAATTATATTTTAAAAAACCTAATATGGGGTTAGGTATGCTTATTGATATGAAAGTCACTGTTTTAGACCCCCTCAGTGGACA